CAGGAGAGGAAGAAATGATATTGATACAGCATCATCTTCCAAGTCAGCCGGGAAATGACACAGTCCTCTTGCTGCCCTAGGTATGCAAAGAGCAGCCCTTGGGCCCCGGCCACCTTCATAATACATTTCCCAATTTGACTTCAGGGTGAAAAATTGGAAAGCTGCCTCTGTATGGTCACTTCCCAAGTATACTCAAAGAGAAACATTTTATTGGCTAAAAAGAAGTGTCAATTTTCTCAGTCAAGTAGGTAACTTAAAAGGTAAGTACAGGCCAGGTGAGGTGGCTCGCACCTGTAATCCTAGCACTCTGGGAGGCCGAGGTGGGAGGATTGCTTGAGTTCAGGAGTTGAAGGTTGCAGTGAGCTACAATGACGCCACTGCACTCTAGCCAGGGTGACAGAGTGAGACCCTGTCTCAACAAAAAAACAAACAAGGCAACTGAGCACCCCTCCTCACAACCCCCTTCCCCTTAAAAAAATGAGAAAAGGTCCGTATATACATTTTCCCTAAGGGACTCCATAAATCTTTTTTTTTTTGCCTCAAAAAAAAAAAAGGGGAACCAAAAAAAATGGTTGGCCTAAAATGGCCCTTAACCAAAAAAAAAAATGTCTCGCCCCACCTCTAAGATCAGTGTTGTTCAGCCCCCGACAGGATATTTGGAAATGTCTGGGGACATTTTTTACTGTCACGACGTGAGGGCTCTGGCATCTAGTGGGTAGAGGCCAGGGTTGCTGCTAAACATCCTACGATGACAGGTTGGTCCCCAATAACAAAGAATGACCCAGACCCAGACGTCAATAGTGCTGAGGTCGAGAAGCCCTTCTCTGGGAGAACCTGAATCGCGGCTCTTGGATGAATGTCTTGGACTGCGCCAGGCCCCCCATGGACTTGGTTTTACTGAGCTGCGTCTTGGCATCCAGCCCTCAGTTGATACTGCGCGTCTCTGCAGACAGCAGCCTGAGGGGTTTGTGTGACTGTGTCTTAGTCTGTTCAGGCCACTGTAACAAAATACCATAAACTGAGTGGCTTATAAACAACAGAAGTGTATTTCCCATAGCTCTGGAGGCTGGGAAGGCCGAGGTCAAGGTTTGGTGTCTGGCTAGGGCCTGCTTCCTGGTTCGTAGGTGCCGCCTTCTCACTGCGTCCTCCCGTGGAACGAGGCAACTCTCTGGGGTCTCTTTTATAAGGGAAGTAATGCTTTTGGGGGCTCCTATGACCTAATCACCTACCGAGCATCCCACCTGCTAACACCATCACCTTGGGAGTTAGGATTTCAACATAAGAATTTTGAGGGAACATAAACATTCAGACCACAGCAACATGTCCTAAGACTGTTATTAAGGGATACCGCGCCTCACACCTTCAAAGGTACCGCAAGAATTCCTCTCAGACCGCAGCATCAAAAAACGCTGAGCTGCCCTGGGTTGGTTTTAGCCTTTGTGAGTCTCAAAACAGGCAGGTTTCCCTCTTCACTCTGACCAATAGGAAGCTCAGAGTCCGGTTTGCGGCCCACCTTTGAGAACTGTGGAGGCCTATCCAAAGAACCTTTCTGTGTACTACCCTCTTGGTTCATTGTACTGTTTGTTCCAGTGCTGTTTTCTCTCTGATCTATTTTTATCCTATTGTATTTTATGTAGTTTTGTAAGCTGCCTCCAATCCTTTTCGGAATCAAGCAGGGCGTAAAGAGAAAACAAAATTCAGCAGAGCCCTGTGGCCTTGACAAGTACTTTTGAACATGCCAAATGTCATTTTAGGATTGGACTCCTGCCGGGGAAGGCAGCTACCCTTGGCTCCCCCATGCCTCCTGGGAGTCTCCTTCTTGGAGAACAACAGCTCAGTAGGTTAGAGCAACAGGTTTTAGAGGCAAAACTGCCAACATCCATCTGCCTGCAAACACCACTCCCTCCCCCAAAATGTTCTTCCCGGTCTCCCATCTGCCTGTTGGCAGGAAGCCACAGGGCAGAGAGACTGCAAAGGGGAAGTAGAGAGATAAGCTCGCCCATTTGTCTTCCTAATTTTCCTTTTCTGCCTCTTAAAGCAGGGCCTTCAGGGCCCCGGGGAAACTGTGTACATGTTAACACTACATGCAAGGGGCGTGCCAGGAAGGGCAGCTGCCCAGGTGTGGAGGAGTGGGGCGCTTTGGGAGGCTGTCGTGCGAGGGTCGAGGTGAGGCAGGGAGGGGTGAGGAGTGCCACATACACCTGGAAAGGCTGACCCCCTCCACCTGGCCCTGAATTCCCTCACCTGCCAGCCACAGAGCCAAAGCCAGCCCGGTGACTTTCGCGACCTCTGCTCTGCTCCACTCAGGGGACATCGGCCAATCCCTTGTCCTCCCAGCCTCAGTCTTCCCCTCTCTAGGATGAGGGGGAGGGGAACAGATCCTAACCTTTGAGGATCCGAAGAACCCCCTGCTGCTTTCATGTGTCCTCACATGCTCCGCTCCTTTTGTCCACTTCCTTCCGGAACGTGCTGCAGCCTTGCTGGAGATGGGAGGGGCGGCTGGGTGTGTGACTCTGGGGCAGAGGTGGACGCCAGGCAGGCCCATCCTGGAGACAGCAGGCGCACGGGCTGAGGCTGTGGGCTTGAGGGGTGAGGGGCCAACCTGGAGCCCTGGTCCTGCCCGGCAGAGACAGAGGCCAGCCACAGTGACCCTGGGAAGGGCAGGGCCTTTGCACGGCCTGCTGGGCAGGGCTGGCCTGCCCTTTGGACTCAGTGGGTCAGCTGAAGGGGCCTCGAGCTCCTGGTGCCCCACCCGACCGCAAGCAGCGCACCTCTGTCCCTTGGGCATGTGGGGCAGGCATGCCCCGCCCAGCTAGGCAGCCAGCTGGACCTTGTGCTGCGTGGCTTGGCCCAGCCAGGCCACTGGCCCCACCTCGTCATTCTGGGTCCCACAGTGTAAATAACCAGGTCGGAGAGCCTCGTGGTCTTGGATCAGGGCTTTGGAGCCCGTGCCTGGGTCCCGGCCCCAGCCCCTCCGTTTAATTGCCCTGCGGGGTGGCCGGTTCTTTAACCTCTAGCTGCTTCCCCTGGGAAATAGGGTGATATGAACGGTGTCGGCCTCACAGAGTTGTTATAGGAATTAAATGAGGCCAGCACAAAGCACAGTGCCCGCATGCGCAGTCACAGTGGTGGGGGACATAGAGGGAGATACCTTGATGACAGCTGGGTCTGGCGGCGGCAGGCAGTGGGGCCGGTGCCAACTCATCACTGGGCCAGAGGCTCTGGGTTCCACCATGTTTTGGGAAATGTGGGCTGAGATCTGAATTAAAATTACTAAATAATTACCCAGAAGTAGTTCCTGGCCCCTGCTTCGAGTTTTTGGAGGCAGAAGGGGCCCTATAGACAATCTTTAAGGCAAGAAGTGCCCTGTGGGGCCCTAGGTTTCTCAGTGAACCTCAGAGACCAGGGGGGAGAGAGTAAGGAAGGACCCTCCCCCAAACCCAGCCCTACTCAGGGAAGCTCCGGCTCAGTCTGAACCAAAAGTCCAAAGTGTGACCTCACTGCAAGCAAAGCTTCCGGGAAACAGCTGAGAACAACTGAGCTAGCACCTCTTTTTACGGACGGAGAAACTGAAGTCGCTGGGAGTGGGAAAATAACGGGCCCAAGGCCACTGGCAGATCTCGGGGGAGCTCTGCACCCCACCTGTCGACCCCATCCTGGGTGCACTCTGCCTGTCCACCCCGTCTCCTGGGTCCCTTGAAACCCCAACCAGCAGGCCCCTGGGTCTTCTCCAACAGCCAGAGCTTTCCCATCAACGGTCGAGAAACAGACCCTGAGGCTTAGGATGGCTGGCTCCTCTCGGACCCTCAAGAATCCGTGGTCAGGCGATGTAGGGACAGCAGTGTCTCCCTCTGGGAGGCCAATACCACATCTGGGAGGGACGGCCCCCCTCATCTGCCTGGGCCTCACCTGGACAGTGCCTTTCTTTCCCCAGCTGCCCCCAGCTACACTGTAGCCCCCAAGGACCCCGTCTCCCCACCCCCTGCTCCTCTCCCCCTCCCTCCCTTGGGGCCACCACAAGGGACCCAGAGTGATATTTTAATTATGCCTCTAATTGCTTCCCAGAGAGATAATGAGTGGGGAGCCCAGATTTCCCTGTAGCTGCTCAGGAGAGATGGTAGGTTTCCATTCCACCAGGAACTCAGCCACGCTGAGGTCCTCGAGATTTCCCCAGATTTCGGGAGAGCAAGCGAGGGCTTCGGCCCTGCCTGGGTCAATGCTCCCTTCTGAGAGAGGCCCAGACAGAGGAGACCGTGGGGGTGGGCTGGGGGGTCCCTGGGTCCTCATCCCCCGACCCAGTTTCCCGAGGCACCCAGCAGTGCTGGGGCCTTGGATAATGTTCCTGCCGTAACACTGATTATTTGGACCGTGGAGAAGGCGGCCTCGGGGACCCTCTGAGCACGTTTCTTTATCTGGAAACAGGGATACGGAGCTTCTACCAATGACCTGCCTGATCTGCTGCCTGCGAGTTGATTCTCTGGGCCCAAAGGTAATAGGGCAGAGGGGAGGGGAAGGTCAGCCCCTTTCCTGGCCCTGCGAGAGCTGAGGACAGAGCCTGCAGTGCCACCGTCCTGGTGGTGACGGCTCCCACACACCTACTAGTCACAACTGGACAACCACTGCCCTCCCCACTGTGTGCACCTGGCCCTGTAAGAATGGCAGGATTCCATTTACAGAGACTGAGGCACAGGGCAGCTAAGTGACTAAGTGCCCACGGCCCCCAACTGACGGTAGCTGCTGCACCTGAGTCCAGAGCCCCAAAGGGCCTGCCCAGGCAGAGGGCACATGAGGCCTTGTCCTCCCCAGAGGCTGCAGAGCAGTTCAGGAGGGCAGGGCCGCAAGAGACAGAGGGAGAGAGAAGCTGCCCCAGGCCCCCATGTCCCGGCCCCGTGCAGCCCCAGGACTCCATCCTGAAACAACCCGCCCCACCTGGCCCTATCCTGAAATAACCGTCCCCCAAAGCAGACACAGATGCCAGGCGTGCTATAGGGCTTTTTTAATGTTTCCTCACTGTTTTAACAATATCATGAAAAAAATACACAGTTTAGAATCTGGAACCGACCTGGGTGGGTTTCAAGGGCAACTGGCGGGGGCTGCGCCTCCCCCACCGTGGGAGCTGAGCTACTACGAACAGAAGCACCAACAGGGCACCGAGTCAGGAGCTAAGTTAGTGTCTCCGAATCACGTCCTGGCAAAAAAAGGGAAGCCAGAGCCCCGCGGCCCCTCCCTAGTGGGTGGCAGTTAGTGCTGTCCCTCCCTCTCCTGCACTGGCTACGTGGAAACCAGGGAGGCGGGGCAGCCTGTTCCCAGGACAGAAAAGCCAGCGGCAGTGCGCCCTGGGGCTCCCACCCAAGCTGCTTTCTGCTCCATACCCTCGGGTAGAGTTACAGAGTGAAACCTGAATTTCAGGAAAATGACAAATAATTTCTTTGTATAAGTCTGTTCCAAATATTGCATGGGGCATATTAATACTAAAAAAATGATCTTTTGTTTACTTGAAATCCCGATTCAACGCAGCATTCTGGTTTTTTGTTTTGTTTTTTGCTCTATCTGCCAAACCTACCCTCAGGGCCCTGGCTGCAGAAGTGGGGGCGGGGCCTGGGAAAGGAAGGGGAAGTAGCCAGAGCCAGGGTGTGCGGGAGGGGGAGGGGAGGGCGAGGGGAGGGCACAACCCTGCCAAGAACAGCTTCCCCCCTAGGAATGAAATATTCTTTTAAAAAATCATTCTTCAGAACTTTTCTACACTGGCCTTCTTCAGCTGTTAATAGCTATGGGGTGGGGGAACAAACACACAGACACCCCCATATAACTCTAAATAAAGTTTGGAAGCACTAGTTAAAGTTGAGCTGGTTTCTTTGTCAAAGGATGTCCCCAGACTTAAGTGTGCTAATAGTCACTGTGAATTTCCAAGAGGAGACTTAGTATCAAGGTTTTCTAAAAGGATTTGCTCTCCCTCTGGGGGCAGGCCTACTGGGACACTGTTCTGATATTGCTCTATGAGGATTTAAACATATTAATAAAGAACAAGCAAACCCCTAGAGACTGAGCAGTGAGTGCCCCAGCCCCTGTTCCTAGTGTCATCCTGGAAGGGTCCCTTCTTGAAAATCCAAGAAGCCTGGGGCTTTCCTTCAGTTTTTGTCCTGTTCTCATCCCCTGGAAGGGGCTGCGTTTAGTGTACACATTGGGGACCGTCCCCCAACCCCACCCCAGTCCAGCTCAGCTCCAAGGGGGTCTGGGCTGCTGGTGCAGGAGCCAGGGCCAAGGAGTGTGACCACCGCCTTCCTTCTGCTGCGCACGCTTCACCAGCTGCCACCACTGGTCACCGCAGAAATACCAGTAGGGAAAAGGAGAGTCAGGTGTCCCAAGCCCCGGAGCCAAGGCCGCCTCTGGGCTGACCTGCTGCAGTTGTATGTGGCAGGAACTCAGGTTGACATCTGGCATTCATTTGAGGCCAGGGTGCAGGAAAGCGAGGCTGAGAGAGGAAAACTGATTCCTACTTCGAGGACACAGCCCTCACCTGATGCAGCCTCAGGGATGGCAGGGTGTGGCGTAATGAAGACAGCGTGGCACCGCGCCAGCTCCCCAAGTCCCCCGAGGGCCCTCAGGCCAGGCTGATGCCCCTCATCCACGAGGTCCAGGGTCTGTGGCCTGACACACAAGGCTCTTGGCTGCCCCTGCACAGTAAGGTCAAAGGTCATAGTGGGGTGGGGGCAGGGAGAAGATGCAGCCAAGCCTTGGAGTGGCTATTGCTGCCCGCCTCACACACGGATCTCCTCCTCCTCTTCCTCCTCATCCATGAAGGAGAACTCCTTGTCCGGCTGCCTGGGGAGAGCGGCCCGGGCCCTGTCTGGCCCCCGGAAGGCAGGGCTGCGCTCCTCTAGGACGCCCGAGGTGCAGCTGGAGAGGGAGCTGCTGTCCCGCGTGGTGTGGCTGCCCACGCTGCGTGCCGAGCCAGGGCTGGGGGCGGCCGCCGCCCACCCCTCGTCCTCCAGAGCATGGGAAGACAAGTCCGGGCCGGCCTTGCCTTCCTGCCTTGCTGCAGGAGGGGCCACCGAGACAGGAGGGGACGCCTGGGTGACAGTGCCAGGGCCGTCGTCGCCGTGGTAACTGCCGTCCTCCTCTGAGGGGTCCCACTCCTCCCTGTCCATGATGCTGAGGACGTCGCCCAGCATGGACGGCCCCAGGTCGATGTGGAAGGACATGATGGACTCCGCGTGCTTCAGCCCGTAGCTGGCTTTGGGGACGACGGGCAGATCCGTCAGGTCCCCAAAGGCCTGCTCGTCGAGGAGGGGGTCGGGGGAGTGGGGGCCCACGGCCCCGTTCCGACGGGGCACGCCCTCCCCCACGCTCGCCTCCTCATCGCCGCCCTCCCCAGCGGCGGCCTTCTTCACGGGGCTGGACGACAGGCTCTTGGGCAGCTTGCTGGAGCCCTTCTCTGCGGCCTCCTTCTCGTTGAGCTGGGGCAGGGACATGGCGTTCTTGACGAAGAGGGCCGAGTCCCTCAGGGAGCCCAGCATGTCCCTCTGCTCCCGATCCCCTCTGGTCACCGACTGTGACCGCTTGCTGCCCCGGAACTTCCGGGACAGGAGGCTGCGTTTGGAAGACGAGGAGGAGGAGGCCTGTTCATCCAGGGACTCCCCGTCGGGCTCGCCAGCCTTGCTATTGAGGAAGGACGTGTCCCCAAAGGCGTCTCCGGCCCGGCCCACGTGCATGGTGTGGCGGAAGTCGCCCAGTGGGGCGCTGATCATCTCGGCCGTGAGGTCCACGCGGGAACGGCGCTTGGAGTGCACCGAGCTGGACACCAGCTGCTTGAGGATGGGCATCTTGCCGGACTGTGGGGAGCAGGGCCTTCCCCAGGTAGCAGATGGGTCTGGGTTCAGATCTGAAGTCCAAGTCCAGCGTACTGCGGGGGGAGTCGCGAGAAGATCATAGGGCTGCAGGCAGAGCAGAGGAGACAAAGGGTTAACACGGGCTGGACGCCCAGCACAAAAGCCCATCTGCCAAGGGGTTGTCATTTAAACCACAGCTCTCCTACCAAAGTGAAATGACGTGAAATAAGCGAGCAATCAATTCTATAGCCCTGCCCATTTCTTCACCCAGAGGCTCTCAGAGCAGAGGAGTGATTTTGCAAATCTGGTTAGAGTTCCCGTAGGCACAGACACACTTTCCCTGAAACCTGGAAGAGGTTTAATCTTTAAAGGCCAGTGCCTCCCCTACCCCTGCAAACCAGGGTGCTGCTGGAGCAAACACAACCCCCTCTAAGGACGTGGAGGTACACACAACTATTCCAGGTGGCGGTCTAGGGAAGAGACTGAGTCTGAGTTGGCTCCTATGAGCAGCTAGCCTAGAGACATGCCGTACGTTCTTTCTGCTATCTAACTTCCATCCCTATGGAGTTAGTGGACACCTCAGCCTGAGTCACAGTTCTCAGAGAGAGAAAGAAATGGACAGGATGGGGACAGGGAAACAGAGACGCTGCCCGGCTCCTTTGCGTACATGGGCGGCACAGTTCTCTTTCTGAACCGGAATTGGGGTGGGGCTGCTGGGACCCACGGAACCAGCTCCCCAGCCTTCCCGCCCTTGCTCGATGTCCCATAAATGAGGATCCCGTCTGTGACATCTCCACCTCAGGGCCCCAAGCTCTTTGCTGGCCTCTTGGGAGATCAAGACTGAGAAACTCCATCCCAGTTTCTTTAATCATTAGGGAGAGAGACGCAGCAGCTAGACCCTCCATGACTTAGCCCCCCTGGAATCTGCAGACCCCCGGTGATGACCAGAAATCCAAAGAACAGCAGAGGTGGAGCCCAGGAGAGCCTGGAGGCACCACCCCCGCAGCTCTTGGCAAGGGCCAAGCTGACATTCAGTGTCGGGGCCAAACCAGCCCCTCTCTCTCCAGAGGGACTTGACCCAAATGTTACACTGGGCAGGGTGAGGGGAGACGGGTGCAGGGATATAACCAAGAGTGGTGGGTGAGGGTGGTCTAGACCGCCAGGTGCCTCCCTCCCAGTCCTGCTGGCACAGTCCCCAGGAGCACCTCAGTCCAGACCCACCCTTCCCGCTGCAAAGCCCAGATGGTGGGTGCCTGGCCTGGGCCGCTTCCTCCCCAACCTGCTGCCTCACGAGAGGCCACTGTATCCCACCTGGCCCCCATTCCATCAGCCGGGTGGGTCTCCCTGCCTCCCCGCTTATCTGTCTCCAGTCCACCCTTCACCTCTTAGCTAGAGCAAGATCCATCCACAGGGGACGCCCACCCAGTGCAGACACGTTGACCATGACCAGCCCCTGCCTCCTTCCCTAACACTGTCTCTTGCTGCTCCCCTCCCTCGGCGCTGGGCTCCAGCCCGAGCTTCTGTGCAGGACGCATGCAGGGAACTGCGGCAACACCCGGCCAGCCGGCACGCCCAGTGTCCTTCAGGGCTCAGCTCCCAGGAAGCCTTCCTCAGCCAGGGCAGTCCTGCCAGCCATCTGCCCCCCAGCACTCTGGATGTCCCCTTCCCTGCAGGCACCTGTCGCACTGTTCCCTCCCTGATGGCTGCAGTGCAATCTTCCCACCGCAGTGGGAGCTGCCAGAGGGTTCCGACAGGTCTGTTCACCACTGAGTCCGGTCCAGCCGTGCATGCCACAGTCGGTCTTCGAGCACCCAGTGACGGTCCCCCGTCTCCCTCCCACCCTCCCCGTCCCCTCAGCTTCTCCCCTTCTGCCTTCATTTCAGCCGACAGCTCAGCTCCGGGGCTCCCCGCCTGCCTGCTCTGTGTCCTCTCACCCGTCCCCCCCCAGTCTCATTCCGTGCCAGGCTGCTGCCACCCAGTCTGACGGCCTCCCCCACCGGCAAGTGACCCCCTCCCGATGCCCGGGCAGCCACACTGCTTGTCACTCCAGCAAACACAAAGTTCCCTGGTGTCGGGGGGAGCCAGGCACCGGGGCAGACCTGCCACACGGAACCGGCTGAGGACTCCCCTGGAAGGCCTTGAGATGACCCTGTGCGGTCAGTCCGCAGTCAGCTCTCCCTCCTCCCCACCAAGCCCTTGGAAAGTCACCTTCCCCTACCCCTAACCTGAATTGTCCCTGGGGCCCCACCCCCCATCCTACCTCAGTCTCTAAACAATTAGACACTGAACAGCTAGACCAGGGGTGGACAAACACTTTGTGCCAAGGGCCACAGTAAATATTCTCAGCTGAGTGGCTGGAGGGTCTTTGTCACAGCTACTTAGTCTTCTTAGTAATACAGTAGCCACAGACAGCATGTAAACCAGTGGGTGTGGCTGTGTTCCAATAAAACTTTATTTATAGAGAGCTTCTGAGTTGGTGAGCACAGAGGTGCTGGAAGGGTGGTACACCCTGCCTCTACCCTACACCTCGCCCCGCACAGCTCTCCCATCTGGCTGTTCCCGAGCTGCATCCGTTATAATAAACCAGTCAAAGTAAATAAAACAAAATAAGCCCAAAAGAACCCCACCTTTATTTACAAAAACAAATGAGAGGCCGGATTTGACCCGTGGGCCATAGTTTGCTGACCCCTGAACACCGCAAGTCCTGCCAGCCACGGACTTCTAGGCCAAAGTTTGGGGAAAACTCTCTGGGGCTAAACAGGGGAAAGGGGAGGTGGAATCTGCCTTCTCAGCCGTGCTGGGCATCGAAGGAAATGAAACGAGGTTTCAGATGAACTCTTGGTCCTAGCAAACCCCTCAGGCTTCTGCTGCCACCAGCGCGGCAGTGAGGGGACAGGAGGGCCTTGTCTTCCACCTGCCTGCAATGCGGCCCCCTGGTTCTATGCACAGAATCCTAGAATCTCAGAGCTGGAGGGACCCCCCCGCCCCCAGCACAGCTCCTTCATCTTATGAGGATGAGGAGCAGTTCTCTTGAAGCAAAGTGACTTACCCAGGTTTAGACCCTGCAGGACAGGGCTGGGTGAGAAGCCAGCTCTCCTGGTCTGGTTCTTGCCACCCCACTCCGGGCCCTTCTCCGGCTCCCTAGTGGTGACATCGCTGGTCAGTTACCATTCCCCATGGGGTGCTCCCTCCCACTGCTGGCCGAGGAGTCCAGAAAAGCGGGCTCTGGCTGCTGCCTCAAGAAAGTTCTTGCAAAATCCTAGAGCAGATTCTGACCCTGTTGATACTTTGAGTTGGATAATTTTCTGTTGGGGGGGGGCTGTCCCGTGCACCGCAGGATGTTCAGCGGCGTCCCTGGCCTCTACCCACCAGGTGCCAGCAGCATCCACCCCACAGTCGTAACAACCAAAATTGTCTCGAGACACTGCCCAGTGTCCCCCGGGAGCAAAACTGTCCCAAGCTGAGAACCACTGACCTAGAGTGAGAACACACAGGTGAGAACAGAGCAGGGGCCACTCACCAGGAAACAATAGGAAAAGAGAGGCAGAGGAGGCGTAAAGGGATTGGGAGCAAACAGTGACAGGGACCTCCAGAGTTGCGTAAGGGTTCCAGTGTAACGGCAGGAATGCCCGGCCAGTGAGCAACGCCACGTTCTGTGGTTTCCCGATCTTAAGTGCTCATTAGAGAGAAGAGAAAGGAAACCGCAGGCCCAGCTGCCCAGGACTCACCAGAGACACTGCGCACCACTGTGGCCACCAAAGGGACCACGTATCTTGGCCACTGTGGCTATTCGGGGGGTCCCTGCCATCCCACTAGCCACCCTACCCGCCCCCCAGCACATCCTTGTGGGTCAGAGGGGACAGTGGGGAACAGTTGAAATCCATGTGTGGCCCTGCCACATTCACGAACACCCATCCTCGGCCAGCCCCGGGAGCCCCAGGGTCCTGCACGACCCCACATCCCAGAAGGGCAGGCACGGGTCTGCCCAGTGCCATCTGCTTCCTGTTGTCACGCTCCCTGGGGGGTGGCTGGTGAAAAGCCGTCTTCAATATCTAGCAGAGAAGGGGCCCAAGAGAGCCGGGGCCCAGATGGCATCACCCGCCTGTCCCACCACCCCAGCAAGGAGGGCTGGAGGAGGTCTGAGTCTCTGGGGTTCTGGCGCTCAGACTAGACAGGCCAAGTGGCAGGCTTGAGGGCCAGCAAGGACTCACTCGACAGGCTGCTTTAAGTCCTTGGTTTCACTGGCCCCGAGTGACACCGAGTCACCCTGAGCTTCTAACAGAGAATGATTCGGGGGAGAGGAGATGGAACACGGAATTTCAAATCAAGCAGGTGGTGACAGCCCTGGCTCCAGCCAGAGGCCTGGGCCGGTCCTGGGGGCGGTGGCAGTTTGGGAGGCTTATGTGCCCACCCCAGAAGGGCATCGTGCCACAGGGAGCTGTGGCTTCGGGAGGGGTGTTGCTAAGCACCGTGACTCAGCTCTGCGGAAGTGGCTAGAACAGGATTCCCAACAACGGGCGGCCACTCCCCACAGCCTGCCCTGGACGGGACACCCACACTCCACCCCGGAAGCCGCATCCCACTTTCCTAGCAGGGCACGGGAAAACAGCTCTCTGCTCTCTCTCTGGAGCCTGCGGAGGCCCAGATTCCTCTGCCCTCAGCCCACTGACCACAGACCCTACCCTTAAGGCAGGAGTGGCAAGCCCTCCCGGGAAGGCCAGGCCCCTGGCTGGGTTTATAGCAACCACACCCTCGGCTCAGCCCCACTCCTGGGTATAGCAGACAACCCTTGCCTTGACCCCTCGCCCAGCCTCCCTGGCAGGGGGCACAGAGATCAGAGCCCTTCCAGATCAGCCAGCCTCGCAGCCCTGAGGCAGAAGGGCAGGCCCGACCAACGCTTCCCGCTCCAAGTGCCCAGGCAGTGGCCTGTCCCTGGCAGCCCAGCCCGAGGCAGGAGCCAGACTTGAGCTCTCCCGGGGCAGCCAGGCAGCCTCCCTCTCTGCAGCTGCCCCACGGCTCACCCCGGTACCCAGAGTACACAAGCCTCAACGCCCACCGCCACCGCCACCCACCGCCACCAGCCTGGTTGTTCTAACCATCCACAT